TAAAGAGCAATATTTGTCAGTGCAGTGTTTACATGATATGAAAAGCGGCGGATATATTTCAGCCCGGCTAGAAGCGGCAGTGAGGTAAACAAACGTAATTCGGCCTCGAGATATTAACATTTTACGGCATATTGCTTTGTTAACTTTTCTTATATATTTTTTGCTATTAATTCCTATCGGCTTATTATAAGTGTTAAATATTAAGGTATGTGATAAATTTCATTAAAATATACAATTATCACGTACATAAGGTAATAATACTGTTTAATCAGGGGTGGTCTATATACAGGGTAATTTACTGAAAACCTTTTGGGATTATACTATTTACATCATAACAACAACATCTGTAACAAGAAAAAATAATATTTCTTAAATTTTTATTTTCATACAAAAATAAAAATATTTTTTTGCACCTTCTAAACTTTAAAGTTCTAGCATCTGGCCAAGTTTAAATGAGTAAGCGCGGCTTCCTACACCCCTCCACCCCTCCCCCTCCACCGGACACGCACTTTCTTTTCCTAATGCTGGACTATTAACGTTGAGTAAGTGCACTAAAAATATTTTTATTTTTGTTAAATTTAAGATATATTTTTTTTTCTTACAGATGTTGTTGTTATGTTGTCAATAGTGTATTCCCAAAGGGTTTTCAGTAAATTAGATATGACCCTGTATAGGCATTTTTGGATAACTCTGGGTCCATAAAATATAACGGCCCACTGTTGAAAATAATGTATAATATAGTAAATTTAAAAAATATATATATCGAAAATTAAAAAATAAGGCCACAAAAAGTTAGCCTAATTGTCCTTAGATCAAATACCCAGAATCAAACAATAGCATTATCTTTTTCGACTAGTACCATCTATAAATTACAAGTTTTTAAAGTACAAAATGACAATTCAATTTTCTTGTTAATGGTTTCAAAGCGTGCCAATTGAGCACAGATTACTTTATCACGTAGAATGGAGAAGAGACGAAAGAGGAGGAGAACAATTAGTTTAATTCTAATTAATTAAACTCATTGTCATATTTGGACTCCCACTAAGTGCTAGGCCCAAGGACCCTAAATCCACGGCCTGCACCTGAGTGCAATGATATCTATGGTAGAGTTGAAATAACTACCGATTTTGATTAGGACGACAGACGGCAGACCGGCTATCTCTTTGATACCTGTCAACTGCGTGAACAATCTTCTAGTGCACAAGTGTGTGCTAAAACACCAGTGTACTCTCTTTTTTACTGCTCTTTCAATCTCAAAGTGTGGTTATACGACAATTACAATTGGCTAGAGGTCGAGCGTAGGAGAGATAGCTCTACGAGGCGAAAGAGTGTATGAAATATCTTCAAAACTCCCTGTTGTTACTGCGATTTTCTTTGTCAGAAAATCTCACTAACTATGCTCAAACCCAGAAGTATTGCAGCATATACTAACAAAAGCCACAGCCACTAAAACTAGACCAACGAGGCAGAAATAGTTAAATATAGTTTTATGTGATCTGTGTTTAAAATCAAATTACATGAAGCACTATTTGATATTCTCCATGAGAACATATAAAATAAATTGATAGCAGTAGTCATGAATTATTTTACATCCTGCTCAAAATATATTACTGAGAAACTATAATCGTATACATTTCGACGCATTTTTGTGGTACTTTATTAAATAATTATTTAACGCATTGCGTGTATAGTTACGATGAAATGTCATAATATATTTCACCGGAAAATAAATCATCGGATTAGAATTATTGAGTCTATATAAAAAAATATACGATAAAGACACATTTATATTGCTTGAGTAAACAACTCTGCTGACTGTTAGCCGAAACGGTTGTCTATTCTTCACACTTGCGTGGATAGTCTGTTAAGCATATTCGATGCTAGCGAGTAGCAGTACTCACTCGCAATACTGCTGCGTCTTCATAGCCCAGATATATTTGACTGGACTGTGAAGACGAAAGTCTCACATTAGGCGATCACTTTATAGATGCATCAAACGGAAAGAAAAATATTTAAAGGCTATTAAGGTTTTAATATAAACCTCAATATGGGTCCAATATTTTGAATGGGTTTATATGACAGACACTTTAATTTTATTATTTACTACACGTCGGTGTTCCTATATAAATAATACTAGCATTGCATGCGGCTCCGCCCGCGTTTAGATGACCAAAACCCAAATTCATAGGTTTTACATATTAGTATACTCTTACATTGCAGTTTTTGTATTTTTTCTCAGAAATGAGATATTTTCCCGCGGTAAAAAGTATCCTATATGTTAACCCGGATAACCAGCTATCACCATACCAAATTTCATCAAAATTCCTCCAGTGGTTTTTCTATGATGCGGTAACATACAGACAGACAGACAAAAATTCTAAAAACCATAGATTCAGCCTCTGTATCGATAATAATGTTTATGTCAATAAGATTTTCCAAAAAATATCTAATGTACAGATTCGGCTTGGTTACAATTTTATTATATGTATAGATGTGGTGACAGTGGGTATATTAATTGTTACAATTAACAGTAAGTATTATGTCATCTGTGCTATTAATATATTATAATCATGTGTGTTTTTACTTGTTCATATTGTAATGGATCAACGACTTTGAGTGAAAGTCTGATTGAAGATAGCTTATATTGAGATATGTAGAGCCATAGGCAAAAACTAGTTAATAATAATAAACACTCATTTTGTGCGGCTTCTTTTCTTAACCTAAAACAACGGCCCTTAAATTATTTACTACTGGTTAGATTGTGTTTATATTTTATTAATACATAGAAATTCTAGAAAGTTGAATCTCGAATTTTTACTCACAGTTAAGTTTATAGACCTCTGAAATTAGAAGACCCTTAGATTTTTCTTTACTAAAAGATCTAATTAAAATCACACACGCCATACTAAGTAAGCGTTCTAATCAAACATTCAAGAGAAAGCAAAAGTGTACTGAAAAGAGCAGGGACCTCTTCACTAACTCTCCGGGTGTTTATCGACAACGTCGAGGGCCCTCTAGTCTCTACCGACGCTTAGCTGTTACCAAATGTAAATACCTACTTTATTCTTTTTTATGACACATCAACTATTCATTATAAAATATAAAAACAACCTCTGCCCTCTGGAATCTTTATTTAGTAGATATATTTATTCAATAAATAGAATAATTTAATATAGCAGTGCTAGCAGTGGTCAGAGTAAGGGTTTCTGGGTTTGCCCAAAAAATGCCTAAGGAAATAGCAAACTATAATAATTATTCGTGTTGGTTCCGTTAGCGAGCGTGACCTTTTTTGTGATTTCCACAAAAAAATAACTGGTAAAAAAAAACTGTCTTGGTTAAACTGTCTAACACTTTAGCCGTTTTAGGACTAACGGTGTAATTAAATTTATTATGACAACTTTTGATAACAAAACCAACGATTATCATCATTTTTATTCGCATCCGATAGCTAGCTAATACCTAATACAGGTGTTATAAAGAAACTTAAAAACTGGAAAGATTGTTTTTATATAGGCACGAATAAATAAATATATCTTCAAACTAAGCGACGTTTACCAAGTTGACTTGTATTAAGAGTACGTGAAACATATACAGAGCACTCGGACGTACATTAGATTAAATGGCACCCAACCTTCGGTATACACAAAGATACTTAATTACCATAAGCGAGCTCTTTTAGAAAGCCGATTATTTACCTAGTCCTTACTAGAATTCACAGTATTTTTAATCTTCACCATATTAAAAGTTTTTAACTTTTTTTGATAAATTTTAACTTAAAGCTATGCCTCTTATTTTAGCAGGAAGGTTATTAATCTAATTACTATGGAATAAACATATTAATTTTTTTGCACATTTATGAATAATTTCTTTCGCAATAAAATACTTTATTATATTTATGAATATATATGAATATAAGGAACACTGTTATTTTTTAAAATTTTCAAAGTATACTTTTAAAGTAAAAAGCATACTGACGTATCCATGTTTGAGTATGAGGATAGCCGATCTTATTGTCCAGCCGACTGCTCAAAGTCATGTGCCTATTTATATTAGTCTCTGAACCATTCAGTGGGCATGGAGGACACTGCCAGTGTCGCTCCATTTAACATTCTTGCATGCTTCATATGACTTAGTCTCGAAGAAATTTATTCAGAATCTGAGAATGCGTTTTCTCAACATGTATCTTAATTTGCATCTACCTTGTCATTGCTATGTATATTAGGATGAAACATCCATTATTTCACGTGCATAATCATATATGTCCGTATGCGTCTGGAATTATATTTTCTATAATAAAACTAGTATCCACCTCCTTTGTCAGAAGTTCTTATCTCAAAGGTTCTTTAACATAAATAAGTATAGAATAAATATTTATAAAATGGACGTTATGTAAAAGTTTAATATATGTACGTGTAAATGGGTACCAGGTATCAGTTGAATTTAATAGATAGCAAATTAATTATAAATATAATAATGGCAACACTAAATATAGATTACTAATTAATATTTTTAAAATTGTAATAATTATAAAAATAATAGCAAAAATTAAATAAATAATTTTCTATATTCAATTATAATTAAAATTATAAAAATGTTTAAAGTTAAAATATTGTAATGTAATTGGTGCAATTTTCATTTTGTTGATTGTGGGTAGGCTGTCTGTAACAACTATATCTTTAAGACATGTAACACCTCAGTCTCTCCCGCGACCATGGATGCTGTAAAACATTCGAAACGTCGGGAACCAAAAATCAAAATAAATCCGCGAAATAATCCGAAAAGATAGTTTTATTTAATAATGTCAAACATTCGCGTAAATCTAAGAAAGTATTAATTTGCTACCTCTTTTATTAAAAATAAAATATATACTATATATACATATGTATAACAAAAGGCACCTAGGGACGCACACGTAACACGAGTAAAGCGAAGGTTCGTCACTATTTGACCATAAACGTATTTGTTTTTATATATATCTCCTGCGCAGTTGGCTAGTCTCAATGAGATTGGCCGCCGTGGCCGGAATCGGTAAGAAGAACATCATCATCATCAATGTCTGTATAGGTACTTCATGAATCTTCGAAATAGAAAAACTTAAATCAGACCATTATTACTGAGATTGTTGTTGTAGGCTGATGTATGTAGTATTATTTATAATTTACCCAAAAACGCCACTTGGTCTTTGATGAATTAAAGTAGTCTCCAAGTAAAATGACACACCAGGTAAATGAACACGAGGAAGTTATAAAAATAAGGACGATTCCTGTTTTTGCCATTCGGCAGATAAATATCCAAGATCCTAGTTTATTTAAGGTTCGAGTCTGCCTTTGATTTCCCAAGAAACTCTTTCCAACCTTCTCAATTTGCCTTCCAACAGTGTTGACAACATCTACGGAAGTACACTTGACACCTGTCAGTTCTACATTAGATCACTCACGGGTCGTGTTTATTTCCTTTTCTTTAAGATTATAGGAATGAAAAGAATAGAAATTACACAATGTTCGGTCTTGCAATTGTTTACTATAATTATAATCTCCTGCGCAAATGGCTAGTGTCAGTAAGATTAACTGCCATGACCGCAATTCAATCAGAAAAACTTTAAAGATTATCATACTGTTATGAATGTTTTTTCAACAGGCAAATTTGTTAGAAATCGAATTCTTACCTACTGCATTCTTATAACTTTCATTCTCCATGTGATAAATAAGATTTAATATAAACACCACTGGTAGCTTTTCATATTAAAACTACTTTTTAGGTTTCTGTAGCCAAAAGCCAAAAAGGGAACCCTTAAATAATTTCATCGTACATTACAGCCACTTTATTAATAACTTTGATAATAATTTTATCTGGGAATTTATTTTAGATCTATCTGAAAATTTGGAATAACTGTTTTCATCAAATATTTATACAAAAGTCGTTGAAGATAAATAGTATTAACATTTTTATGAAACTAAATTTAATTAATGTTTTAATGAAACAACTAACAAGCATTAAAGCAAAAGATTATGTAAACAAAGACTCTGAAAAAAATACCTGGTAGGATCTTAAGTATGTTCTTTTAACTAGCTCTCGTTAATTAATGAGGTTGATAAGCTTCAAGTTTATAAACTACACGTTGCATGTGGTACCACGCGTTTTTTGAAAAAAAAAAGTAAATTTAGTTTTCTTTTTTATATTCATATACACTAATAGCATTTTAAGAAAAAAAAATTAAGAAATAACTCATTACAAATTTCAAATACATAACTTCTTTAATAGAAAATAAAATGGCTTGTCCTTTAGCATTTAAATATCTAATGAACATTCATTAATTCACTAAGCGCCATTTTATTTTGGATTAATTAAGATATATATACCTAAAACAAAAATATTATATAATAATTAACATGTTTTACATAATAGTAGCCTAATACATTGGACATGCGGTACCTATAAAGGTTTAAAGGATCCAAGAGTTATCTTATTTCGTTGAATTTGCATGGATTCTGTTTATTTTTTAAATAACACTATATCTTCTAAAGCAAAGATAAAACATAAATACAGTAATGTCTTTAAACAAACAATCGCAACCAGCGAGTACCCACCTATGTTGATGAAACTTGACAGAAAAGGTCCATGTAGAGATGAATCATTCCCGTGCCTCCAAGAACCATTAAATAGCTCAATACATCACTAAAATTCGACTGCTGACACAAAACTCATGAAATCACCGTTCATAACTTTAAAGCCGCGTAATCTCGCAATTAGTTATCAGATTATGACAAGTTTTTAATAGAGAAACTGTCTTATGCCGTTTTTAATGACTTTGAATGTTATCACAGAGTGTAAAATGCCTGGAATCGACCAGACGTCCCGCCGCGCCACTGAACGATGGCTGCGAGGCTCCCGGCCCGCGCTGCTCCGCGCATGCGTACTCCGCGCCGTCCACAGCGCCGCCCGCAATGTGTATCCCGACGCTCCTGCCGCGCACTTGGCTTTCCATTACTTGCCCACGTAAAGCTCACATACATCTCCTGTGACTTTTAATAGCAATATAGCGCATTACTAGCATTTTCAACTTCGTGTTCAGAATCTAATATCTCATATACGGGCAATAGTCAATGCCTCGTAAATGATATCCCGATTCAAGGATATGACCGTCATCTCGTTAAACTATAATATCCAAACGTATATTTCATATTAAATTCGTACACAAAGATAATTAGGTACACTGTTTGTGAATAAAGCTCTACTATTTTATTCGTAGTAGAGCATTTTTCACAAACAATGTATATATTAATAATAACTATATATTAAAACACTAATAATAATTGGTCGCTTTCCGGTTTTCAAGAGTGGAGCTGTAAGGTATATAAAATTAAATACATACATCTATCCATATAATAAAATTGTAACTAAGCCGAATCTGTACATTAAATATTTTTTACCAATAATTAAACAAATTAATACAGAGGCCGAATCTATACTTTTTAGAATTTTTGTCTGTCTGTCTGTTACCGCATCACAGAAAAACCACTGGAGGGATTTTGATGAAATTTGGTATGGTGATAGCTGGTTATCCGGGTTAACATATAGGATAGGGCTTTTTACCGCGGGACAATATCTCATTTCCGAGAAAAAATACGAAAACTGCAATGTAAGAGTATACTAATATGTACAACCTAAGAATTTGGTTTTTGGTCATCTGAACGCCGGCGGAGCCGCGGGCAATTCTAGTACATATTAAAACTTTTAATTATTTACACAACACGATATAAATATAAATAATAAACCTGTAATAATATCAACTATTTACATTACGCAAAATCATTTTCATTACATATGCGTATTTCTTCAAATATTATGCATGTATAGAGAAAGTGTGTAGACAATATTTTTTTTCTAATAATTCAGTTGGGTAAATCCTATTCGTAAAATCTCGCTAAATGATTTACTAAAAACGCGAAATCATGCTTCCTGCATCAACCTCCTTCCTTTCCTCATCCCGATTCCAAGATGCGATTCGAACTAGAGCAATCCCATATAACTACTACGTAGATCCTTTTGAGTTAATAGTGCGGGAAATTCTAAGGTACTTACTCGTAGTTAGTAGTAAAGTTTTTGTCGATGGCCCAGTTTGCAATTTATACGCAATTCACATTAACTTGTATGTAGCCTATATTTTTTATTTAGTTTTTTACTGCTATTATAACATTTTTACCTATTACAAATAGGGAGTTAAAAGGCATATCTGTAATCTGTTTTAGTTATGTTAGATCTTAACTTTTAACCTGGCACTTTAGCCGTATTCCATCATACTATAATTATTAAATTCACATAATCTGTTATAATTGACCTTTGAAATGTCAACACCCTTCTTCCCGTGATCACGTTTAGTGTAAAGCATTCAAAATGTCAGAAATAAAAAAGTAAAATAAACTTGTGAAAAAAAAACAATAAAAATGTAGTTTATTTTTCAATATCGAAGGGTTCAGCAAGCGTTCGTTTGTCGAATGGACGAACAAACCCTTGACCAGACTTGAACTTCTGGCGTGCTACCTCGTCACTTTTATACATGTACCTACTATGGATAAATTATAACAGAATTGTTTAAATAATTTCAGTACCACATGTATAAAGGGTTCGATTCCCGCACAGGCAGATTTTTTGTTGACAATTATTGATATATTTCTCTGACAACAATTAGATCCAAGAAGTTTCTAAATTCTGCTATTTGTTTGGCATGTGAGTGTGATATTAAGGTGCGTAAAAATGAAATAATATAATATCTGCATATAATATTCATGTGTTTTATTAATATCTCTGTATAAAATTTATAACATATTTAAACAACATCGCTGAAAATAATTTTAAATAATGCAAAATTAATTTCTATATAAACAGAACAATATTTTAAAAAGGAGAGATTTTTATTTACATACAACAAATTTTCGATTGAGATCGAGGATTTCGTTTCTTATTACATTACAAAAGTTTAATTTAATTTATCGGTAAACTTTCACCTATATATTGTATAATATAGTATTTTATCTTGTCAACAATAGTCTCTTAATATTTATAAATTTCTAACCTACTTGTCAATCTAGCAGTACTATAATGGCTATCTCGATATTGGATCCTAACTACTTTACAGATATTTGACAAATCTATCTATCTAATTGACAAAACAATTAGTACAAACTACAAAACAATAATTACCATGTATGTACTCAGATTGTAGTTATCATAATAATAAACAAGCTATAAAAAAATAAGAGAATGTTGCCAAGCATTACAAAGTCTTCATCAATTCCTATATCGCTGATGCAAAATAATAGCGCGACCTAACATAATTATTTCATTTAGAGTAAAAACATGCAAAATTGACACTGATCGTTTTAAAGGAATAATATTATTGAAATATGCATAATTTTTTACAACATCACTACAAACATACAATTCGTTCAGTGAACGCCCCAATTATGGTCATATCGTTAGAAAGAGCCGCGCGCATTACCTGTGGGCCAACTTCATCCTTCACTCTTAAAGTAAATTCACGTCGAGTAGGCACAGGCAATGCGCCACCCATAGCATTTAAAACCCTTGATCTACCAGCGACGTCTAGAGGTTTGCCTTCTGCACTATTACCTAACACTTTCCGCACACAAATAGAACGACAGGCTTCTTTTTCAGCTTCAAATAACTCTCTTGCAGCAATTTCGAAGGTGCGCCTTTTATCTACACCACCAATTGATGAACTATTAGCCGCAGCCCCTTCAGACATCGCCTTTATTGCGCCTGCCCTCAAAATAGCTGGTAACAAAAGTTCTGCCACGGCTCCTACGGTTCGCGATCGAAGGAAATGCAGTACTTGTTCTGCTTCTCGTGTTTCATCAAAGAGTCTTCTCTGTCTAGTTGCGGGTACTGGTCGCGCTACATTCCAAGCTTCGACCCAAGGATTTCCGGGTAAAAGCATTCTATCTCCTAGAGAACCGCCATCATCTGGTTTCCAATCCCGAGGTGAGTACCATCTTACGAAATCACATAATTCTGCGCCAGGATTAGCTGCCTTAAAAGCTTCCATGTCAGACAGAAGAGACGCGCTCATCATTCTTGCTCGAAGTTCAGATGCTTTTGCATTGTCTCCCAACCTAACCATGAGCTCAGCATCTTCTTCCAATTGATCTTCTGTTTTAGGAGCCGGGTCCTGTAAATCAGAATTATAGTAATTGTTTTATCTGAACTATGAAAATTTCTAACTATGATAGAATAATGATTTTTTACAACTTTTAATAGTGCATGTATAATGCATACATACATACAGAATACATATCATATTCATAAGATTTAATTTTGAAAACTTTATTTAATTTATTATATGTACAATAACTTGCAACTATTTATTACATGTAAGCAATTTAACTTACAAGGAGATCGAAATTAAAAGAGTTTGTTTTTATATTTGAAAATGAAATTCGTTTCCACCTATAAATAAAAACATTAGGAAGAAAGCTTTATATACCTGCTGTGCCCAAATGGCACCCCTATAACCCACAGAACAAAGAACATTGATCATTTATATACCTGGGTACGCGGAATATAAAGTGGAGCCCCATTCTTGAGAGTGGCGTCTTCAAGACGGTTAAGACGTCCAATAGGTCTGTCCCAGGGCAATTGATCATCTGCTCCCTCATCTTCAGAACAGTCGAAAAATTCTTCATCAGACGAATTTCCCGTTGCACTCGAAGATGCCTCTTGTGCTCGTTTGATACAGCAGTTCAGAAGCTGAAGTTTTTGATGTAACAGACATGTACGTGCATTTGGCGCGCCATCTAGTACTCTATAAACATATAATTTAGATAATTCTGATGGTTATAACTTTTTTTATAAAAAGCAGTCATGAGGACTGCCGACAGAAGTTAAAACTTAAAACTATAAACAAACAGTTATTATTTTTGGATATTCAATTTATTTGTTTGTCTTAAATTAAAATTTGTAAATTAAAACTGTTTACATTTGTCTGGTTTTGACATCTATCGGCACTCTGGGTGTTAGCATTAACACGTCACGTGACCATGTCGATGACGACTTACATGAATTTACTCCCCATCCAAACCTGCCTATAGAAGTTTTCACTTCAAAAAAAATATAAACATCATATACACCTACAAACATAATTTCTATATTCACTTTCTCTTAAAATATTTTTAAAAATACATGACCTCGAAAAGAAAGCGAATAAATCAAAAGAATGCGCGTCGGCTAACACAATATGAGACAATATTTTCTCTTTTAAATACGCTTTAGATTCAATTTTTGAGATGATGACACGGCACATTGATAATGATAATTCTAAAATATAAATATAATAATTAGAAACAATAATAATTTATAACAGAATTTAATATATAACAGTATTACTCTTCATCACAATAATTCTAATTTCTAAGATTGTGTGCCATGACCCACAATCCATGCGAAGTAACTTAAACGCGCGAACGCTCTGAGAACCGTTATCATATTGAATTACTAATATGAAGCGAGACCAGCAACTGAGTGTAGCAACTTTTTAAGATGCTTAATGTCTAATCGGTCGGTGAACCGTTTGTTTACCAGAGCCGGTGCGTCCACAGTAACCGTGTGTAGGTCAGGGCGCCGTAGTGGGGACCGCGCGCGGCAGTCCGCCGCCAACGATAGCCGCGTGCGCATCCACCTATAGCCATGGGCTAAACCGACCTAATCCAGCTTGACACCGTTACCAAAAGCCTCCAGCTTGAAAGCTACGAAAGTGACCTCTTTCCCACTGTTGTAAACTAATAATGATATATGTGATTGACCAAATTTCCAACGTGACAGTGTTTGTAAAAAGTGGTCAGTTTCAAAGGATATTCTGAAAAGTGAAAAGGATTTACCACAAAATGGTAAGTCTAAGTAAAGTAAATTGAAATAGTAAGACTTTATTAATGGTGATTGCAACTGATATAATGTCTTCTAATGCAAAGTTAAAGAAGTTAAAGCATAAATTATTACTTTAAGCAAAACGAGAATTATTATATTGCCTGCTTAAAAGAAACCATGTTAAAACGTTTTTTTTTTTTACTTATTTATACTAATATTATAAACAGGTAAAATTTGTGACTTTGTAAGATTGTGAGTTTGTGAAGTTGTAGAGGGATCTCTGGATCTACTGAACCGATTTAGATGAAATTTAATAAGTATATAGTTTGAGACCCTGGGAAGGACATAGAATACTTTTTGTCCTGGAAATCATCCCTTAATTGGGTGAAATGGGGATGAAAGTTTGTATGAGGAATCAAGGTAGGGACGAAACCGAGCGAAGCGAGGGTGAGTCGCTAGTCAAATATAAAACAGTAAGAGTTATAACCGTATATTTGTTTTTGTTTTCCAATTTGTAGTTTTTTTATAGAAAAATTAACCAAAACGGAAAAAATAAATTAATAGTAATTATGACATAATCTTAGGTACTTCAAGTATCGATTTTTTAAATTTTGGGATTGGATAATTAAACTTACTTTTTACGCGTAAATGATATTTTATTAAATTTCGCAATTTATCATTTCCATTTAGAATTATTTTTTTTGGTAAAATTGATAAAATTAATCATAATAAATTATTTTAAAATGCCAAAACCCTTGGCAATAAGTGTAATTATACAATATACATACATGTTACGCCGTACATACTAGCTCTGTCGTTGACTTAATTAATCAAGCAAACAGATACTTTAATATCATCATATGAATAAGCATAAAATCGTATATAACACTTTTGAAAACTAAAAAAAAAATACTTAATTTTTATTTATACAATATTTAAGTCAATTTATATGGCTATCAAAGAATTATTTCGTGATATAAATACCTCAACTATACCGTTACTCCTATTATATTGCAAAGCTTAAGCATTAAAACCTAAGCTTTTACAATATTCTTGTAATCTATACAGATAAATAAAATTGAAGTGTCCGTTTGTAATGTATAATAGCAAGGTTTTACTAAATGCATATGAAATTATATAGGGTACTTATAAAAAAACACATTTTTTTTAACTTTCGTCTGTCTGTCTGACTGGCTGTTTGTTCCGGATAATCTCTGAAACGGCTGGATTGATTTTGACGGGACTGTCACTTGAACATACAACATAGACAAAAATACTAAAAATCATTGTTTTGGGTTCTATTGCATTCATGAAGACCCCCAGTAATAGTTTTCTCAAATATCTTGTACAGACAGCGGTCAGTTACACTTTTATTATATGTATAGATAAATCTTATTACACCATCACGGAAAACCTTGCAGATGTCAATGTGTGAGACTAATTCCTAGTTTAGTCTCAGGTAGGATAAGTAGATATTTATTGTACTGCAATATTGTAAGCAAATATTATTAAAAAATAAATAAATTTGTTGAGTTTAGCACCGGCTCTCACCAGATTAACCTTCCGAGCCTCTAGATTCTTTTGATCACTTTTGATATAAATTTTAAAATTGTTCACGTCACGATCCAAAAGTGCTTTTAAAAGTCTATTTAAATAAAGTATGTATATTTTGATTTAATTTGAAGATATAAAAATCTTGTCTGATATAAGCAAGGTAAAAGTTGTGGTCATCATGCAACCTTATAATTTTCTCCACTTACTCATAAGTCGTAACTATAAACAAGCTGCTACGCACAGGCCGAATTACCCAAAACATTGAGAACTAACTAGTTACACCTAATTTGACGTGCCCCGAATCACTTGTTCACTTAACTTGACATCAAAAATAACATACAATTAACTATAAGCCATTGTAGAAAAAAAAGCACGGTACAATTGTACTTACTAATTATTATTATTATTATGATTATATCTATTTTCTAGCACTATTATAAATATTCAGTACAAAGTCAAATTCCGAACCTAACTTCTAGGACTAATTTTCTAAAAACGATAAAGTATTACACAAACAGGGTTAACAACTTCTTGTCACGTATTACAAGTCAATTATTACCAATTGATTTCATTCATGTATAAAGCAACGTTGCTTCCGCAAATTTCACTGAAGATCAAAACGGACAAAAAGCCTATGGCATCGAACCCGAGACAATGAGCTGAGTAACTGTGTCGTCAAGTACCTACAGAAGGCGTCGGACGATGCGTGAGAGCGTCTGCATCATTGTAGTTAGCTATTTATAGTGAAACATTCATTCACTATTACACATAAAATCGATTTACTAACGTAAGTTCGTCTATTCCTCGGTTTTATTTCTTTGTAACTTACCTATTTCTTTACCATTTATCCGATTGCAATAAAGCTTTAGTAAGTTAAGTAGGTCTTAATATGACATAGTATTAGTTTTGTATACAAGTATACAATTTAGGTGCTAAAATGTATTTATTTCATGTGTGAATTAGATGCCTACTAACTAAATATTATATCTACATATAGTTTGTATTATCTACAATATTTCAGTTTAAACGATATTCTGTAAAGAGAATCTGTAACCACTACAGAAAAGAAATCACGTGTATTTTAACAGTAGGTACTTCCCTTGCTTATAAATCAGCTGTTAACATGAAAATTATTTTTATTTTTTGTTTTATTACAGGATAACAAAGTATGTTAGAAACTTAGTCAAATACAGTCAAAATAAAATCATATCCAGTTTATTATTAGCAAAAAACTAATCAAAGTAAATTTAAAAAGTGTTAAAAGTAGATAAAATGTTTAGATTGAATATCTATGCAAAAATCAGGAGGGTTTCTAATACTTTTAAGTACAATTTTCTTTTATTTTATAAATCACTACCGACAAGTTTTTTACATTTCAATATTTCCATTATTTGTTTAAAAGTCAGGTTTAAGAGAACTAAAAAACAACACAATCAATAAATAATAAAAAAATACAAATCAAATCGACTCGATAAAATGATCCAACTTACTAATGTAATGGAATTCGATAATAGTTTATTAAACTTGGCAGGTGCGGAGCGCAGCCACGTTCATTTTCACGTCACGTGCCTACAAGATTGATGGACACCGATCATTAGAGCCTCCCTAGCCTCGGTCTCGTAGATCTTATTACGAAGAAATTTCTAATAAAGACTGCAAGGTTTAAATTTAAAAAAAACGTCTTATATGATAAAAATATTTTTTGCTAAGTAATAAGAGTCCGTAAACATTGCGAATAAATAACGCTATGTATAGAAAATTGACAAAAATACATTAGGCACTCAATTCTCAAATAAACAAGTACGTAGTAGAAAGTTATTTTAATTCCCTTGTTTTAAAACCGTTATCCGCACCATGTTGTTCTTACTCTTGTTGATCTACCTAATATGATAATTCGTGATCTAGTATATAAAATAGTCAATTTATTTATTTTTTTGGACATTCTCGGTGCTTTTTTTGGAAAATTTAGTTTTTTTTTAGAAAAGACCTATATGGATAGATTTAAAAAACAAAACCTCATCTAAATACAAAGTTTGATCCAAGTCTCTAACAATTTTCGAGTTTCCGAGATACACAAAATAAATGTACGTATTTACGAAAATTGGTCATTTAATATTATAAGATGTACCTAACTTAAAACACGGGCGAAACCAGGGCGAGTCGCTAAACCTACTCAGTACTAATATTGCCAATGGTAAGAATATAATTTTACTTTCGAGATAACAAAATAGCAAAAATCATATTATAACGGAGAGTGAATAATTAAATTAGTAATTAATTTAATTAATTCACTTTCCACCAACATCTGAGTTATTATGAAAAGTGATTGAGTGAAACGCAAGCTCATATTAAGATATATCTACACTTTTGTTACCCAAAGGATGTACTTCATTGGAATTGCAATATATAGTGTATCGATATTCTTAAAAGTAAATAAAAATCAGCATAGCTATATCTGAAACGGTACGGCAAAACGGTCGCGCGTCGCTCGGCATCGCGGTCGCGGCTTTTACGTCCCCACTCGTCATTACGCATCACCGCATGCCGCGGTTTTTATACACATACTTGTTACGAACGCATCAACGAGAGCTCTAAGTATCTCTTTTCTCGTTATATTTTAACCATATATTTACTTCAAAGTATATAAGAACAAAATATATATAGATACATACAATTAAGTACGTTATAGTTTGTTTAGTATATTATACATATTTATACTCAGCACCAGTACCGGATTTAACCTTAACGCCGCCCCTGGGCATAGTGAAAAATGGCGCCCTATTATCGAAATTTTGAATAAAATATTAAAAGTTTAATTTTCTTTTTTTTTGAAAAATGAAAAAATAAATATAAATGTATTCAATATTTCCCAAAACTGTACTAGTAATTTTTTTGTAATTATTCATTTTTTGGAAAATTAAAAAATAATGGCGGGAAGAAAAAAATGTTCCCACCCTCCAAATTTTGCCGCCCCTAAAAATTTGCCGCCCTGGGCACTAACTAGCCCCAAGTGCCCCTAGTGTAAATCCAGCGCTGCTTAGCACCCAAAATATCTATGCAATTATCAGAAGCCACTTATCAATGTTTATATGAAGTAGAAAACTGAAACTGTTATAAGCAAAAACATCATTGTATAATATACTGCACAAATTAAGTAATACCTACTATGGGTAATTGGCTTATAAAAATCGTGCTAGATATTGTCTTAGCCTTGTCTAAATCCGGAAAACTTCCCGTCAGTTTATTCGAAATAATTAAAAGGTAATCTACA